CTTCTTTCAGGGTTCTGCTTTTCGAAGGCATGCGCTCAATTTGTAGTTTATCCATTCAAGCAGGAACTCTCTGATGAAGCGTTTCCCTGTAGATGAATTAGCTTGAACTTTATTCCAAAATAAAGTTAAAGTCTCTGGAAATTCTCCATCCTTGATATCGTGTAACATCACGGGAGCACTGATTCACTCGAGCCAGAAAACTGGAAGCAAACGCTTTCATGTTTCTTGTGTCTGTGTATGGATGGTGAAGTTTAAAGCCTGGATGTTTTTTTTAATGACTGGTGCCTTGTTTATTCATTCATGTCAGCCTGCGAACTGGAAGCCGTGCTGGTCCCAGCATGCTTTCTTGCCCTCCGTGGACTAGTTGCTCTATCCCCCTGGCCCTCTGTATCCTGCTCTGACTGCTATGGGGCGTCACCCGCTGCGTTCCTCTGCTCTCCGAGCTGCCATGCTGCGGAAGTCTGTCCTGTGGTGTGGTGTCCTTCTCGGTGACAGGAGATGGACATGTTGACCACAGAGGCGCTTGCGGTCCTTGGCCAGGCCTGCGTGTTGGCAGGAGGATACCTGCGTAGTCTCCCTTCCTCAGAGGGGTGTACACCAGCTCGGGAGGAAACTGTAGGAGGTCTCGCAGGCCGATTTTGCGAGGATTTCTCGCTTGGAGCGTGTCCGCGGGAAAGACGAGCACCGTTGTGGGCTGTGATCCCCCGTTTCCCCTCGCAGCAGACCTGGAGTAGTGTGTGAGAGTGTGTGAGAGTGTGTGAGAGTGTGTGAGAGTGTGTGAGAGTGTGTGAGAGTGTTAACAGTGCTCTGCTGCTCCTCTCTCTTCCCCCCCAGCACCACCCCCAGCCCGCGCAACCCCGTGGCCTCCACCCACAGCATCACCAGCGCCACCACGCCCGACCGCCTGCGCTTCCCGCGCGGCACGGCCAGCCGCAGCACCTTCCACGGCGGCCAGCTCCGGGAGCGCCGCACCGCCACCTACAACGGGCCGCCCGCCTCGCCCTCGCTCTCGCACGACGCCACGCCCCTGTCCCAGACGCGCAGCCGCGGCTCCACCAACCTCTTCAGCAAGCTCACCTCCAAGCTGACGCGCAGGTAGGCGGGCCGGCGCCGGCGCCCGGGGGGGCTCCTGCCTTCCTCGGCTTTGCTCGCTCCCCCCAGGGGAGCGCCCAGGCCTTTCCCCACGCGAGAGGCCCGTTCTCGGAGACCGGGATGGTAACAAAACTGAACGTCGGCCTTCCACCTCAACACTGCCCCCAGGCCACAGACGGAGGTGGTTGTTACCATCCGGGGTCTCTCCTCCGTCTTCCTGCTGGCCTCGACACCCGAGCTCACTGGGAATCGGGGCTTCATTTTAAACCCAGGGCCTGTTGCTGGCTGTCCCTCCAGCGTGCAGACTGGAAAGACAGGCCGTCTGCAGGTCTGGGCTTGGAACGGAGGCCCTTCTTTTCTCTTCCCTGAGTTACGTCCCGCGGGACGTCTGCATGGCGTCTTCGCAAAGAAATGGGATCTTTAAAAAAGTCCCAAAGTAAAGGTTTTTCTTTCTGTCTCTTCTGTTCATTTCATGCCATAGCTGAAAGGCTCCAGTGTTGAGCTGTAGATTTATGTTCATGTTGCGCTTTTACCTGTGGCATTTAAATGTCAGTCTTTCTGTTCCGCCATACACTCGACGTCTGTTAGTGGCAGCTTCTCTCTTCTGATGTCTTACAGGTGGAGCATTTTTACACACAGATTTTAAGTTGTGCCTTAATTATATATGTGTGTGTAATTATGCGTTATATACCATTTAAAAAATCATTAAGGTTACTTGAACGTTGACAAAATGCTAGGGTTACAATTTTACTATATTATAAATATTTTCCAATTTAAAAAAATTACAGTAAATTCCCTAAATTAAAGTCAGTATTGACTTACAGTATATGTGGAATTACTCTAATTCAGAGAGCCTGCAATTCAGGAAGGGGGAATTAACAAAAATTGTACTCCAAGGGGAGTTTAATATTAAAACCATTGTAGTGATCTCCCATGTGAATGAAAAAAATAAACAGAGATGGGCTTTCTCTCTGAATAAGATTTCAAGCAAAATTCCTCTTGGCCCACGTTACCAAGTTGTGCTGCAGAAGTGAAATATTAGATTCTGTGGGATAGTTTTCTTCACGTAAATGAGACGACTGAAGTAGCCTGTAGTGTTGTGCTAAAGCATAGCGGATCGCATTTTCTCATTTCTTGTTAACAAGCTGAAGAACCTTGTAATATCTGTAAATAAGCAGACATGATCGTTCTTTAAGTTAATGAACACCGGCCCTGGCACAGAGCATGAGCTGTGATAGGAACAAGCGATTTAGGCCACAAATATGTCTCATTTCAGTGGGTGAAGAAATCAATCTGGTCCCGGCTGTTTCAGCGCTTAAAATGTGGTTCTGAAACTGGGAATCAAAATCAACTTCCTTGCTACTGGTCACTCAGTTCTGTTTTTGTTTCATTATGCATCATTATGGATTCTCTCATTTTTTCTTTACTCATTCAGATTGTCTGTTTTTTTTCTTCTGATTTTTCCCTTTACGTTTTTTTTTACTGCCTTTTTTTTTTGTAGAAACATGTCATTCAGGTTTACCAAAAGGTAGGACCTCCAATTGGCTGCTTCTGTGATTAACACGAGACGTAGGCTGTTAATCGTTAACCGAACTGACTGAACTCGCTGCTTGAGACTAAACCCGCCGGTGGCGCGAGGGGCGGAGCCAGCGAGCGGCCCCGGGTCACACGTGTGCGCCGTGCGTTGTCGAGCATGTCTGCCGCAGCTGCTGTCCCTGCGGCTCGGCGGAGAACCAAAAAATCAGAACAAACACTACTAATCTCCCATGCATGCCTTTCTGCAGAACTGGGGTTTGTGCACATCGCTGATGTGTTTTTGTGTTTGCCCAGCCCCCCCTCCCAATGCACGGGCGTGTTTACCATTTGCCAACACGTTGTTTTGGTGCAGGTAAGTTTTTTCCAGTGTGCCTTAGCCACAAAGGTACCGTGCCTAAAAAATAAATAAATCAAACTGCGACCCCCCACCCTCCCCCGTTATTAATGTCTGTCGAAGACAGGCTTGGGACCGCCTGCTGGCGAAATGTCTGGGAAGAGAAATCTGCGAGTTAAGTTGGGTTACACAGTGGAGAGGAGAGAGACCCTTTCGGTGGAGGCAGCTAGTTTTATTTTATGAGTCGTTGTATGAGCTGTAGGTCCCTGAGGAGGTCAGGCGGTCAAGCGCTGAATCGCACTTTATCCTGAGTCCATAGCCTTCCTAGCATGAGATGACTCCTCGATGGAGGCGTTAGGCCGTGGGCGAGGTGGGCTTTGGCAGTGTGAAGACCCTCTGTCAGAGCTGTGCACCCCCACCTCCACTTCTTCATCTTATGAATGCCAATGCTGACCAGAGTGTTCAGCATGACACTCACACAGTCATGCTATGTGCTCTCGGGCAGTAGTTTTCTTTCGGTCCAGAATACTCAGGAAGTTCAGTTTTGTTGCATCCAAGTAGGGAAAGGTTGTGTTCTACCAACGCTGAAAACTGTGAATAACAGCACAAAGAGGCAGTCTCGAGGAAACGACCCGATTTTGCTCCTGCTCTGTGTAGGCCTGTGCAGTATTCTGTATGCACCAGGAGTGCAGGCGACTCTTCATGTCAATCTGTTGCGACTGGACGGTGAATTGTTGTTGGTTGATGAAGGCTGGCCCAAGTGCTGGCCTGAAGCTGCATGCCAAAACCACGCAAACGTATGAAGACAAGACCTCATATGTCCAGGCCTCAGTGAACCAGCCACTTCTGTTCCTGCAGAACCTGTCCTCCTCTACCAGCCCCTCTCGGACTGCTCTTCCCCAGTTCCGGCCCACAGTCCAGTTGAAATCTGAAAACGTTTGCAGAGGAAGAAGAGCTGATGTGAAATGTCAGTCTGTAGCATTGACACTTATGTATAGCGATATCAAAGGGGTTGAAGTTCTTGATCACGCTGAAGAGATTATAACCACATCAGTTAACCTTAGCAGTGCGGCTTTACTTTGGTCTTTCAGTGCACCAATAGACAAAAACCGTATTCACAGATACCACACAGCATTTAGCTTTCCTGACATTTTTTCTTGGCAAAACTCTTTTTTTTTTATAAGAACATTTATTTTCCCATGACAGTTGTCTGGTTTCACCAGGGTAGTGGGAGTAGTCTGAGAACAGGAGGTGATCTCATGCCTTGACATGCCAGTGACATGCCTCTCTGTTTATAGTGGCCCAGTGCTTGGCTGGCTGGCCTGCCCAAGCAGTCATTGCTCATGGCTTCATCTCAGAATGCCGTAATTGTTCTCGAGGAGGAGCAGCAACGAAATTGAAGCATGATAATAGTTGGATCCATGGGTGTGGGGGGCTGAAGAATTCTGGTCTGTCAGCAACCTGCTGAACGCGATGTATAATGCCTGCGCACTGTTGGTTAATCCCGAAACAAGAAGAAACCATACAAGCTCATGGCTGGGACACTGAGCTGTTTCTGGACCAAGGGTCTGTAACTCTGGTGTACAGGGACGACTACAGTATTTATAAAGGTATAATATTAGAACCTGAATTAGAACAATTGGATTTACAAAAAAAGGGCGTTTTAGAGAACAGGTAGAGAACATGAAAATGGAAGAGAAGCCCAGGTGGACCTGAGGTGTGGCGTTGATGGCCTCCGTGTTTGTCCGGCCCAGAAGCCCTTGCACAGGGGAGTCCCCGTGTGCCCCGCGTTGACCTGGTGCATGCAGGCTTTGCAAAGTGCTCTGGGAGTCGGTGCTCCTCCGGTGGCCGAGCTCAAGTTCCTTCACGGTGCTGATTGTGAAGCGCTTGTCCTGTCACTCCACCACTCCATCCACCCATCTTGGCATCTCGGCTCCCCACCACCACCACCACCACCACCACCACCACACACACCGTTTCTGTTGAAATCGCTCATCTTATCCCTCGGTTGATTCTTATTCCTGCGTGGGACAGTGTGTGAGCAAATGTCTGGGAAGGAGGAGGGGTTTACAGGCCAGTCAGGGCCAGGGAAACGCCAGACCGCCTCCTTTCAGAACTTTTCACCGCCTGAAGGCGCAGCGTAAGCGTGTAGCAGCACCTCGCTTCATGTTCAGTTTTGTGGCAAATTGCACGATTAGGCTCAATCGTTGAGTTGGAAGTGCACACGATTCCAAACGGGGATCATTCCCATCGCAAAAATAATTGGCTCACCCAGTATTCTTGTGTTTTTAAACGGTTAAGACTATTCATGTCCTAGTCTGTGGGGTTTCTGTAATTAAGGTCCCTGCACTGGTTCCTTACAAAAACGAAATCAGTTAGTCTTCGCAGAACAGAGACGGCGATGAGCTCTGATTAGTCAATTGACCTAACACCCATTTTGTTGCACAAAAACCTTGATATAAGCTTATATAAGGCTCTAAAGGACATTTCAGAAAGATCTGAGCCGTAAACCCAAATTCTCAGCGTTTCTGAGGATTCATTAGTTCCACAGTTTCTTTCTTCAGCTGTGAGTTGATTTGGAGAAGCCACACGCTCAGTTCTCGCGCTCATTGAGCATAGGAGAAGGCAGGGTCAAGTCTTTCGTTGGGCCGTTTGCTGAGTTTATTGCAGTGATGCTGATGAAACCTGACTTGTCTGTGCAGTTCAATTCTTGACTTTTCCTTCCCTCAGGGTCAGTATTGACCCAACCAAACGACAGCCTTCAAACAAATCAGGGCCTGCCAATCCTTCTGCCCCTGGATCAAAGACTGTTAGTAAGTCTTCAGTCTATAAATCTTTCCTCTTCTTGACATTTGTTTCTGTGATCATGTCTTACATCTGAATTTTTTTATTTTTGTTATTTTGTTTCTCAAGAAAAGCAAAGCGTTTTTCAGAATCCATCTTTTCTTGCAGATTCAGGAGCAGAAGATATAGAAAGTTGTAGAAAATCGGAGATGGAGAACTAGAGTAAGGGGATCACTTAAAAACGATTCTTTCAAAATGTTCCAGGACTTTGTGGTACCCACAGATCTGCAGAAAGCGACGCTATACATGTGTCAGATTCAGTAAAACATGAACACATAAGTGCCATGCCTCTTCCTGTATGTGTGCTTCTGCACTAGTATTGCATGTCCCCACACACAGTAAGGTAGATGACCCTTTCCTGCCCTTCCCACAGCCTGACCTTGGAAATTTGTATGTTGTTCTTGTAGCCTGTCCAGCCTAAAGATTAGAATGCATTGCAGGGTCCTGAAAGGCTTCCCTTTCTAGAATGACTGGAGAGAGATGCACAATACCGGGGTCTGTTTTAGGAAGTCCAGACCATGGCTAAAGACACCTCCAAGGAGAGTCGGCTCCACCACTCCAAAAGACCATGAGAAAATCCACCGCAGTCCAGGGAGACTAATTCAAAATCGCTCAGCGAGACTGCCTGAGCTGAGCCCCTCCTTCCCAGGCTTCGGAGCTACAGGAAACAGCCCCCCCCCCCCCTGCCGACATCAGTGCTGTCTGCTCATGTGTGCGTGGTGGTGCAGCTGCTCCTCCCAGATTTAGATGTAGTCTCACACCAGATAAAACCGTGCCTGTGTCCAAGACACACTGCAGCAGTGAGCTGTACCAGCTGTAAGCTCCACGCCTCCTGCCAGTGAGGCTGTAGTAACGTGAGGACAGCACAACAGTGACAGTTCACTCAACGGGGATCTGAACCTGGGCCTTGAGCTGACAGCTGGCTCCTTTCACACAGGAGGTGGAGGAGGCAGCAGCCTGTTAGGTCTGGGTAAAAAAGTCTGAGCAGTTGTCCATTATTTAAATTGGGCTCCTAAATTTTGTCTACATTTATGGGCTTGTGAGAATGGTCAAAGAAATTCAGTGTTCTTTCTCTGATAGATCTGAGCTTTTTTGCATCCAACCCAGAGGAAAGCAGAGCCAGACCATACAGCCCGTAAAGCACGGAGCGCTGTTGCTCGCCTGGTGGTTGGCACTCTGTTGCTCCGTTGCACGTCACTTGTGCCCGTTTTCTCAAACGTTTTCTCTGTTCCACTTCTGCTGTAAAGCAAACCCTAAGTGGCACCATGCTGTCAGAGGTGCAGATGAGGGGTGTTCCTTTCCAGTCAGGCGTGAGAAATAATGGCTGTAAAGAGAGGGGCTCTGGTGACGGATTTGGCCAGTTGGTTTTCATAGGAACGAGCAAAAATGCCGGTGCTCCGATTAAAGCAGTCCGAGTTTCATTTTTGCCAGTGTAAAGTTTTTTTTTTCCTCTCGGAGTACGGCACCTTGGCCATTAAACCGGACGGATTTGCATCTCGAGCTGTGTTTCGGGCCATGTGGTAGTCAGTGAGTGCTTGCCCCTCCCATCCCTCTCACAAGGTTGTTTCGGAAAGGTCCCAGCTTCTAGTTCCCACGCCAGCTGAAGGAACTCCTCAGTGTAGCCATGCCTTCCACCATCCCTGGTCTGGAGCTCTTCGAAAGGGGCTTTGTCAGTTTGCCTCTGAGGTGTCGGAGGCAGCCACGGCTTCGACAGCTAGTCTTCCTCTCTCAGCCACTGACACCCCTGCTCAGAGCTAGACCGGACTGCATGATCCAGATGTGGTGGTGTAGGGTGTGCATGCGTGTACCGTGTGTATCTTGTGTGCGTCTGTGCGCGTCTGTAACATCTGTAACTGTGCGCACACAAGCATCAACACTCCAGTATGCGTAGTTAATGCCCAGTATCCACTGAAGTGTCTGTACTCAAGTTGTGTTGGATTCTGTTGTTAAAGAAACAAGAAAGTAACTTGCCAGCTAGATCAGTTTGTGTTTTGCAAAACCCAGACGTGTCTACTTGTAATTACAAAAAGCAATTCCCATTCTCATTGGCCTCATAAGGCTTCACTGTTGCGTAGCACAAGCACTTTATGATTAGTTTCTGTAAATTTAATGGATCGCTTTTTCCTTATTAAGTTAGGTCTTTGCTGTTACCTGTGCATGCCCATTATTGCACTGCACAGGCACCCATCCACATACAGTGAAAGGCAGCATATTCGGGTCATTGAACTGGCTGATGGCTTTCTTGGTTTTATAACGGACAAACTGTATTTGTTTCTTCTCCTTGTATCTTTTAAAAGAGAGATTTTTTGGAGTCGCCATTGTACGTTCATTCTTCTTCACTGGGTGTAAGCTTTCTCTCTTTCTCTCCCCCCCTCTTCCTTCACGTGTGCTTTCGGATTGTCTCTCTCAAAGAGTCCCAACAGAGTTTGAGAGAAACGGCCGATTTGAGGGCTCAAGGTGAGACAGGGTGATCGTTGACGTTTGCCTTCTCAGATCTTCATCATCTTCCCCCCCCCCCCAGTCGCCCATGTGCTGTCGCTCCTCCCTTCCTGTGCCTGCTTGCTGAAGGCGTCCCATCAGGCTTTTCTTCTTTCTCCCTCCCAGTTTTGACCCAGTTGCTGATCCTCGCTTTGTGTTCGAGACCACCCCTTTGGTTTTCCATTGCACATTTTGATCAAGACACCTTTTTTTTTTTGGAATATCTTTTCACAGTTTTACTTTGGCCATATCTGTCTTCATTTTGGCTATGCAGTTGGTGAACAGCTTTAGTGTTAGATGTCGTAGTGTTAGATGTGTGGCGTACTTGAGGATATAGATGCCCTGATTTGACTTCGGGGGTGAAAGAAACACAGGGGGTCCCTTTCACAAAGAAATTCTATGCAAGGTCCGATTGGCGCCACCTCTTGCAGAAAGAGTCCTCATGTCCAAAGCAGGATAGTAGACTACTTTCCACGTGTAAAATTCTGCCTTACAGCATCTTTAACAGGCAGGCAGGCCCATTTTATTACACGGAGGTCTGCATTGAAGAAAGCAGGTTCTGTGTCATGCTGAGGGTCACAGGCTGTACTGGCACACAGACAGACAACCCAGCAACTCAGTTGTGTTGTGCTGTTGCTGTCAGTGGGTGGGGGTGTTCTGTTTCTGTCTGCAGAGTGCCCTGCAGTGTTGTTTTCAATGCTGTGGTTCCACCTGCAGCCCTGTGCTGGCACCTAGTGGGCACAGTAGGGAAATGTTTTCTCTATCGAGCTCAACTACTGTTCTCACACAACAGAACAGTAGGCCATTTGCCTGCTTGCATTTTATTGTGTTACAGAGAGTGTGCAGAGTGATGGATGAAGGGCAGGCTGTAGAGTTTCAAACTGAAGATGTATACAGTACTAAATCAAAAGCATTTGAATTATTTAAATTTAAATCTGTGCATCTCATTTAGGCTATGCAACGATTTCAATCAATTTTACAGCCTCTGCGGTATGCTAAGCTCTTTTCCATTCATTTGTCACTGTTATACCTCCTTTTTTGTGATACCCCAAATCATATGATTCATATCATATGATCATATGAGGTTTTAATTTTTTATAAAAGCAAACCGTCTTCATGAACTGCACGCTATTCTGTTTGCATGCAGAGCTTTAATCTGCATCTTGTCTGTTGCATGTTCATGTCAAGTCACGAGAATGTTTTTCTTTCCTTGAGCTGCTTTTGTCTGTGAGCTATGTCCTGCATGGTTTACTCGCCTCTGTTGTTCAGTCTTACTGTGTTGCACCTTGAAGATCACCAACAGACTGGTAACCTGGTCCTGTTTTTATTAGCCAGGCTGTTTATCAGGTTTATTTATCTTGGATTACACATTCATTTTACAGCCTTCAAGGGTCTTTGTTTAGGTCATAGATTGTCTGCTATATAGGGAAAATATCTCCTTTGCCAGTCCAAGGCACAGATAAGTTCAACTGCACTGTCTAGTAACTCAGTATCCCGCAGCAGTCTTTGAAGGTAAGTCAAGTTCGTGTGGATCTTTTCTAGTGCAGGAAGTAAAGTTGTAGGTATGGAGAAATTGCTGGAGAAATTCCTGGATTGGTTTGCCCCTGGAGTAATGTACTGAAAGCTCTAGAGTACACATTTCACAGCACTGCCAACCTCACTCGGCAGATCCCCCAGCAGGTGCCCGCAACATTTGCACATGGTTAAAAATGTAACAAGAAAAGCTCTGCAGTGGCCATATTCAGTCGGCTGTAAAGAGTCCTGGGAAAGAAGCAATATAGATTTCTTGTTAGGGTAGCACGTAGGAGAGAATATTAAAATGTAATAAATACAGTTGCTGTCTTCAAAGTATTACAATGAGGGGGGAGAAAAATCCTGAATCGGACAATAGTTTTGGTAGGTTCTTCTAGGCGTGCCAATCGAGGCTTTTCCAAGCTTAAGCAGTAGTAAGTAAAAGTATTATCCCTGAACTGAAGATTTCTTTTTCTGTAGGTTTAGTGTTCTTATTCCCCCTCTCAAAGCGATACTCAGTACGTACCCAGGGGGCAGAGCAGTCGGACACGAGGGCAGGTGCCGCAGGCCCCAGTCACCCGTCTAACTCTCCGTGTGTGTCCCCCCCTCTCCCCTCCAGTCGCAATGTATCTGGGGATCAAAAGGACGAAAACAAAGAAACCAAGCCCCGCTCCCTCCGATTTACCTGGAGTATGAAGACCACCAGCTCGATGGACCCTGGCGACATGATGAGGGAGATCCGCAAGGTCCTGGACGCGAATAACTGCGACTACGAGCAGCGGGAGAGGTTCCTGCTGTTCTGTGTGCACGGCGACGGCCGCGCGGAGACCCTGGTGCAGTGGGAGATGGAGGTGTGCAAGCTGCCCCGGCTGTCCCTCAACGGCGTGCGCTTCAAGCGCATTTCAGGAACATCCATAGCTTTCAAGAACATCGCTTCCAAGATTGCCAATGAGCTCAAGCTGTAAAGACGAGACGTGGTTTCGGCTGTAAATTCTTCAAGTAGCAGTTTCAGAAAAGTGTTTTTTCTCCAAAACACTCACAAAGTATGTATTGAAAATAATAATGTATAGAATAATGCTTAGGCAATAATTTCTTGCATCTTTGAAATGGTATTATTATTATAATTATTATTATTACTACTATTATGGAAATGAGAAGACTTCTTGAGCTGCTGGAGATCTGAGGATGGTTGGATTGAAGAATTGATCTTTTTTATTTTAAAGTGCACTACAGCATTAAGTAGCTACTGCATCCAGCAAGTTCCCTGCGTTCATTATTTCTCTGTCCAGCACAGATGAAAATAGGACTTCCGAAGAAAGCCTTGCTACCAATTTTCCTCTCGTATTGGTTTGCAGCCTGCTATTAAAAAAAAAAACTATGAAAAATAACTGCACAGATAAGTATTCAGAGGGTGAAGTTTTCTTCCGCGTGAACCTGGGAAAAAAAATTACTGAAACTTTTTGGCACCATAGGCTAAACTTGTGTCCAAGAGCAGATAAAAAAAAAAATTAAACTTGCTTGCCAGTACCCAAGGTGGTGAGTTACGTATCTGATAGGAGAATTTGTTGCACAAATTTTCTGACCAAATGCAATTTTGGGAAGTCATCTTCTCCGATTCATTTCCGTAAATCACTTTTAAACCTGGTGCTCAGGGTTCCCACACAGTTTATTTTGCAAAAAAAAAACAGGTTTGAAAAGTGTACCTGTGGAAATCTTCGCGACATGCAAAAAAAAAAGTAAAATACGTTTTTTAAGCGCATGGTAACGATGCGATGCGTTAATGAGCCCTGCGCCGATTTCGCAGACGCTCTGTGGTGAACAGTTCTGTGATGTTTGGGAAGCAGTGCATCAAGCAATGGAGCTTACTGGGTCCTTAACTTTGGTAAAGACTTTGTAGAGATCAGCAAGACTTTCTCTGTTTGGCAGATGTGAATATTTAGGCAGAACCTTTTTTATTGTACGTTTTCAGCTGTAATTGTAATTAAAACCATTTGCAGTCTGACCAGTACACAAGCTGGATTTGAAATGGATCGCCGTTCTGGGACAATGTTCATCTAAGTATGCCATATTCAAGCTTTAGTATTTTTGTTGTTTTTTTCCCCCAAAAAAAAAGTCAGCACTGTTTTACGAATGTAAATAATGTAACTTAGTTTTGCAAAAACTCCATATTGTTATACTTTTTTTTCTTTTTTAAGTCCTGTAATGAGCCAGGAAATATGGAATTTATGTAATTTGTCGCCAGGTAAGGTTCACCAGTGTCTCCATTAAAACATCCTAAAATCTCCTGAGGCTTTTGTCTTTCTCTTCCTTATTTCAAGAACTGCAGGGCACTGAGCGGAGGCAGATCAGGTGTGGTTGTGCCCTTTCTCTTCTTTTGATTTGGTTTAGGTTGTATGTATAATATCTCTTTGAAATCCCAACACTGGAAATCTTTAACGTGTATATTCTAAAACTTTTCAATGGTGTTAGGTGAAAAGTTTTTTTTTTTGCAGTTACTGCAGCATTTGCTTTTAGACAAAGATTTGGTTTGTCCTGCTAAGCAGGCTTGCTGTGAAAGTTGGAATCCATGCTTCTTTCAAGAAATGGTTAAATCCTAAGATAAATTACTAACAAACAGCTGAGATCGATGGGATTAATGTCCCCTTCAATTTTGGAAACTTGTAAAGTTTTTATTCTCATTCAACAGTGAAAAACCTGTTAATTCATAAATTTCTTAGTCTAAGTGCACAGATCTGGCCAGTAGGTGTCACAAGCGTGCTGTATAACAGACCCAAGAGACAAAGATTTGTTTCATTTTTCCCCACTTTAATAAAAATAATCCTGACACGGAGCACTTTTTCTAGACACTCCACTCAAAGTGCTTAAAAGTTAATGGGGACTCCTCTCCACAACTAATGTGTAGGCCCCATCAAGATGATGCAATGGCAGCCAAAGTGCACCAGTATGCTCACCACACAGCTATCAGGGGGAAGGAGAACAGAGTGATGAAGTCAATTCAGAGATGGGGGTTAATTAGAAGACCATGAGTGGTAAAGGCCAGGAGGCAATTTGTCCAGGACACCTGGGCAAGACCCCTACCTTTTTTGAGAAATGCCCTGAACACCCCTGCTCTTTTCAAGAAATGCCCTGGGATTTTTAATGACCACAGGGAGTCACGATCTAAGTTTTACATCTCATCTGAAGGGTGGTGCCTTTTTTTACAGTATAGTGTCCCCGTCACTATACTGGGGCATTAGGACCCACACAACCGTGGGATGGGTGCTACTGTACCTACTGGTCATACTAACACCTCTTCCAGCTTTCCCAGGAGGTGTCCCCTTTAGTTACTGGTCAGGTTCACACCTGCTGAGCTTCAGTTGGCTGCCAATTTTGAGTATTTTTTTAAGACGCTCTGAATCCTTGAATTAGAGTTCATGTTCTCTTGAAACATCTGTTTAAGGCACTAACCTGCACCTTTGAGGTTTCAGTCTTCAGTCAGGATGTATAGTATACTGCATACTAAACATTTAGCAGATAGTTGTATTCAAAGCTTGTCATTTTCCTCTATTCATACTTGCACTGTCTTTTAGAGTAGGGTTTCGGTGTTTCATTTCATCTGAAGGTTGAAGAACAAAGAGGCTTAGTAACCTGCTCACGGTAACACAAAGAATCTGTGGGAGAACCAGAGCTTGAACTGGCAATGGCCTGGTAGCAAGTCTCTCACATAAACTTGAAATAATGCCTTGCATTAACAAGTAAAATGTGTGTCTTCAGGCTCAATCAGACTGGATCTTTTCCTGTTCTAAGCAGTGTTAAGCAGTCAGCTTTTGTGATATCCCCCTGGATGGAATCTAATCCAGGCTGGTACCTGTTTGTGTGGCTTGGTGAACTGGAGCAATTCGAGCACGTTGCTACAGGGTACAACAATTCTATCATTAGAGGCCAGAGCCCTATTCACTTTATGCAACCCCTTGCATTAACAGCAAATTCCAAAATACTTCACAAATAGAATGGATCCTCTTCAAATGCTGCAACTTGAAGGAGAACAGAGTAGCCATTTTGTACCGCCATATGCTGTTGAGTAGATGGGGTACAGAACTGAGAGAGTACCGAGCCAGTGGAAATGTACTCAAAATATAGTTTAAGAGTCATCTGAGCCTCATCAGTATCTGTTATTTCTTCTTCCAGTATTTTAAGAGACCAGTTTGAAATGTAACAGTCAAGTGTTCATGAGCCTATCTTCATGTGATAATGGAGTGAGTAATCTGAGGTTCTACAGTTTCTTCCTTTCAACGGAAAGCTGCCATACATTTTAAGAAACAGAACACACCCTTCTGTGACCTGGTTTATTATTCTGCACGGCCAAGCTTCTGTAATTACAGCTTGGAGTGTTAATCAGCAGCCCTATCCGTCAACTGGCTCTCTGCTGCTTGAGGGAATATTGCAAGAGGAGTTAAAAGTGAGGCAGTGTACATTTTGCATCCCATCTTCAATTCCAGCATTATGATTGATGAAATGTGTCTTAGCCTTTAAATGCTTTCACTTAAAATCTGTACTTTATCTTGATAGAGCAATGCATGTTACAGGTACTGTTATCAAGGATGTACATGTTCCAAGAGATCTTACCAGTTATGTTATTTAGCCGGAAGTGCATCTAAGTAAATCAGAATCTTATTGCTAGCTTTGTCAAATTTCAACTGCTATAAGAAATAGAGGCTACTTCAATTATTTTATACAAATTCTGGTGTATATAAATGTTAGACAGTGCTGCTAAAAATAAGCCAAACATTCCATGGGACAAGATTTATTTTCAGGTGTTACAATCCATTTTCAGAAAGAACATTGGGAGACCTTTGCAAGTACAAAAATCTTCTATCATACTGATGGAAGACCTGTCTACTATTTTTTTGTGCCACTAAAGTTTGGGTAGAGTGTATTCCTTGAACAGACATAGTGGGGAGTTTGATTGAAGGGAGTCCAGAGATTTTCACTTCTGAGCTGGCATGAGGTCATCGATTGACTGGCCTTTCTCCAGCCGCTTCTCCATGTCGACCAGGAGCTTCACCCCATCCACCACCATCTGCACCAGCTCCACCTCTGAGAAGCCCAGGCGGTCTGCGTTGGAGATGTCAAACACTCCTCCCACTGCTGCAGTGTCAACGCCACCTGAGAAGAGCACCATCGCAACAGGCTTTCAGATTCAGCTTGGACAGGTGATAACTTTCTCTGCCAGGGAACTGGCATTTTATACTGCCATTGATGAGATGTCAGTAAGAAACTTCACGAGTTGCAAGTTAGACAGGAAGAAACATTCTTGCCTTAGAAGTGATTTAAAGCTAACCAAGGAAATACAACTCAAAGAATTACAAGTTTTCCCTTTTTGGAAAGAATTGAACCCTTTAAGAAGATCAAATTTGCCCAATATAAAGAGAAGCACTGACCAGTTCCACGTTTCTGAAGTCGCAGTCGCTTAAGGATTTCTCCAAACTTCTCATGCTTGCTCAGGTTGGGCAGCTTGACATGGACACCCCCACGGAGCCCAGTGCCCAGGTTGGAGGGGCAAGTCAAGATGTATCCCAGGTGCTCATTCCACATGAACTCATGGCCTTTTTCCTTGAACAGGGATTCAATCTGGAAAAGACAAAAACGCTCAAGTAACTCATTGCTCAAATCCCTCATCTTGTTTAATCACCTATCGACACTCCTGGCAGAAACCAGTACACACAAAAAAGCAAGAGGTCCTAGGGTTCAAGTCAAGGACATCTGCTGTAACACCTACCTTGGTAAGCCCATGGCAGAAGCGAGTGAAGACCTCTTTCATGTTTCCTCCCTTCTGCATGGAGATGACTCGGAGGTGATCCTCCTCATTCACCCAGACCAGGAAAGTCTTGTTGTCATTGTGCCTGGTAAAAAAAAAGTGCAAACTGTAGATCTGAACAGGATTTGGAAACTCCATGAAGAGCTCATTCAAGAACTCATGGGAAATTTGTTCCTTGTTCACTGACCCCAAATAGACATTACAGGAATCCAAGAACTACCAGATATCTTTTTGGTAATTGAATAAATCAAGCAACTCCTCCCAAAGAGTTTACAATGATTACTGGTAAGCATTCAGGTTCCACAGCACTGTCCAAATCCATCCAACTGCAAAAGATTTGCATGGCTTAACATTCTGAAAAAGATTATGGGTATAAGTAAAATACCACATTTGTCCTTTTCAAATTCACAAGCTTTGAAATCATTAAATGGTCTAACATTTAATTTTTAGCCTTGGCTAGTTTGACATTGTAGCAAAATGCAAAACCACAATGTAAATAAGTGAAAACTGTTTAGCTATTGGAGAGTCTTGACCACTTTTTTACCCCAAATGCATACGTTTCACACTGTGTTCATAGTGCACCTCAATGCTCACCAGATGCCCCTGGCATCAGGCCAGTCACGAGCCATTCCTGAAGCCAGCAGCAGAGGGGAGACTGGCTTGTCAAAGAGGAAGTGGTCATCAATCAGCTGCTGCTGCTCTTCCTCAGTCATGTTCTTCAAAGCATAGTATTTTCCTTTAAGATCACCATCAAGGGCACTTAAACCTTAAAACAAGAGCAAATGAATATTTGTTTTAGGATGCTTAACCACTGCCAAACACATATGAAAGAGCCAAGTAAGTCTGAAATTGTAATGCCACTTGCATGTGCCAGAGGGTGCTACTTGCACAGTTTAAACTTGACAACTGATATTCAAGTCTTTAAGATGGAGATTTACCTTCAATTGCGAGTTTCTCGATGGCCCGTCTTTCTCCACGGCTGCAGTGAGGCGGCAGGCAGAACCCACGAACGCTCCTGCCCGTTCGGACACGGGAGCTCAGAACATAGTTGGGATCCAGGTCATCCCCACCCTGCAAGAGGTCCAGAGATTTTTCTGCGTTTTACTAGATAGTCCAGGAGCCCTATACAACTGCTACAAGTTAACAGCCACTAGCAAGAGACAAGAGGAACATCCCAGCCGACACCTCCAGTGCGCAAAGATTTATTCTTTAGTAAAGTCACCTGCAGATGGTCTGGATTCAGGTCAGTCTTGTGTTTATCAGTTGGCTTATAGCCCCCATGTCTGTCTTTGATCACGGGGTCCAGCAGGTCCTTGAACACCTCATAAGACTCCTCATCACCTGCCACACAGCCCACCGTCATAATGAAAGGGTGGCCTGCGAAATGAAAAGTTCCTTTTGGGATGAATTGCTCAACAAAGGGACTTTGCATAAATGCTGAAGTGCTTCTGACTCGCACACAAGTTACAGCTCAATTAAGGTTAACAAACTGAAGTATTAAATACACTGACGCTACAGATGAAGCTTATCAATATTAAAAGCGAAGTCTGGAATTCATTTTTACCAGGATTATCAACCCCAGTCTGAATGACACCATCTATCGTGAATCCAGCAGGGGTAGAGCGCTCTCGCAGCTTCTTGTACATATCCAGAGTCAAGACCTTGGCCATGTGGTTGTTGTGTTTGCTCAGGTCAGGATACTCCATCTCAGCAGACAGCCTCTTGATGGTCAGTGTGGCCATTTTACTATTGCTGAACAACAACAAAATTCTACATGGTAAAGGAAAGCCACCTGCTCCACCTTAAAGTGCTCCATTGATTAGGGTCTTTTAGAACATAACAGCAACACACCTTGACATCAAGCCCTCTATTCACTAACACGTTAGTGCAAGAGGTTAGTAAAATCGTTAGTTTAGCCTCATCTAAAGATATAATAAAATGTTTTATCGATATCCCAATGTCAAGGGCAAGGTTCTCGGCATATATCTTGATATTCTTAATCTCCTGAAATTAGGCGTTTGTCAATGTTTGCTCTGAGAACAGTGCAGTGATGTAACAGGACAACAGCCATTCCCCCTGCTAAGGTCTCTACAAGGGTAGCCTCTGTGCAACCATCAAGGTAACCTCTGGCAAGGTCACTGCGATAACTGGATAAAGCTTACAATGTATCCGACTTTACAAGGCGGCGACAGGGAAACGCCTTTGTGCCATTTGGAAGCAGCACTTTAAGGAAGAAGAACAGATGGCTTTTAAGGAGGAAAGCGGCTCCGATCTTTACCTGGGTTATCAACCCCAGTCTGAATGACATCATCCAGTGTAAATCCGCTAGGAGTCTGCTTATCCCGCAGGCGCCCGTACACCTCCGGAGTCAGCACCTTAGCCATGTGGTTATTGTGTTTGCTCAGGTCTGGGAACTCCTCATCAGTGGAGTACTTCATCTTCATCATGTTGTGCGTGTTACCGAAAGGCATGGTTACCACCTGGGCGCAGGATGGGGGGAAAGATTGTTTACAGCGGGGGAAAAAAACGATTTCGCAAGTTCTGTGGAACGATTTAAACTTTTGTTCAGGTTGGTTTACAATATTGAGTCAATATTCCGCACAAAAAGTAACCGTACTGGTGGTATCCCTTTAAAACCATCAACGAGCATAATTTGTTAAACATTTAAAATGCATTAAATGATAAATGATTCTTGTGACTAGAGTTTAAAGTAAGCTTTTTTTAATTAAATTCAGCAGCCACACAAACTACTGTGAATCAAACTACTCGTTTGAAAACCGCAGTGTCCCGTGTCTGTGCGACAGAAGGGTTAAATGTCTGGCGCAGTATTTGTAGGTCTTCTTTCCACATTGGAAATACTTGCTGACTGCGCTTTTCAAGTTGAATTGTACATAAATTAGGGGGGGAATTAATCGAATCGATTAATCAGCTGTATCAGGCACGGAATTGTTTGATTTCTAAAAGTAATCCGAGAAACTAAATCGTTGTTCTCTTTAATCGTAGATACCTTGTCATACAGAACGGCGTTTTCAAGGACTTCGCAGGTAAGGTTTTAAAAATCTTACTCGGCAGTGCTACAGTCTATTCCGGTCTATGGTCTTATCCGCTTGCTAGCGTTTTTAATTAAGGCAAGAATCCTTGTTGCATTCAAGCAGTGATCTCCAGAAGTGCATAGTGCAGGATGACGATTTAGGTTCACAGCACAGATTTTAAAATATCACCGATTCCAGTGCAGCTCCTACGAGCTCGGACTGTAACTGGGTCAGCAACGGTTCTCGGCGTCTGTCACTCAAGTGCACCGCCGACACTTTCTCCACGGCATTGAAACCAAGTCTTTGTTCACCCTCACATACAAGTATAAACTGCGAACGATTTGTATCCATTTCTCGAGCTTGTAATGTCGCACTTGGGGAAAAAAAATGACGTTTTACATAAATAATCCAAACGGTATTTAAAGCGCGTTAAATTAAACGGTTTAGAAATAGCAATGTCCGCCTTACCCGATGATGCCGAACTTGGAAACAAAGATAGACTCCTTTTTATTCTCCCCTGGAATGAGCACACCAACCCTCACTCTGGTGTCCAGAATAACGCACCCGAGATCTTTTTTATATACAATCCACGCTCGCCTCCGATTGGTTGCTATTTGGAGTCCATTCATTCTATTGGAGAAGGGCTAAAAGCCAGCACTGTCCGCGCTTGGCTAGTTAGTAGCTTTCAGATCCAGTGACGCGTATCTTTCAAAATACTCGGTATGTTAGATAAATATACGTAAAACCTCGCTGTATTGTACTTGCTTTAGAATGTTAAACAATAAAACAAATACCAACTGTTGTCGTTTGTGCTACATGTGTTCCTAGCAATACATGTAACGAATTATCTTACACCATCTTGCATATAAAATGTATTATTTATAAGAATTTGGGTGGTTCAGGTTTATTGAACATCTTTTTTACCTTAATATCGAATAATTAATGCCCAGCCTATGTAATCTCTCGTGATGTCGATAATGTTCATCACAAAATAGTGCTATTCTAGCCAAATAGTGAAAAAAAAGTGAAATTCAAAATTGTACATAAACTGAACTGACCGCATAAATACAATTGCATGAGAATGTCAACTGGCCCAAGGCGCACAACGAAGGTTTCTTCGTTTGGCTACCATATACAACAACTAGATGATTTGCTGCAAAATGATTTATCTTGTTGACCGGAGATTGAGGCAATCCTTTTATTAAAGCCCATCGACCACATGCATGCTTTTCTAAGCATTATAATAGATTACATCCATGTTTATAACATGTATATTTTATGCATTTGAGGAACCACAAATACTGCGCCAAATATTTTGCTATATACATCAATAACCGAATGATTTTCAGTCAGACCTTTCAGAAAGCTTTAAGCTGTAAGAAAGGCTTTGACCTTTAAATAAACGTACTGTCTTTTTAAGACACAGATACGTCATCAACTGGGGACGGAGATCGCGCACGTTGTGTCTTCTCACAGGTGAGTGCTGTGGTGGCTGAAGCAAGCAAGCAAACAATTATATTTAAAATAGCCTTTAAAACTCGGAATTCAAATATCGCTTATTTGGTGTAAAATACAAACTACTGGCCGGGGGAGGGGGGGACAGTTTAACTGGAATCCTATATTTACGTGTGAATGTGCTACTGTTCTCTATGCAAGCTCTGTTGTATTTTGTTCACAGGGTATCAGGCGTACATTCCCAATACTTAGGGTTCATTGTGAGTAGAGTTTGATATTTAAAAGCCCGAGTATTCGTGTAATTATTGTTTTACTCTTTCTTATCTGCGTATTCCCAACACCGGGTTATGCAGCTAATCCGACATCAGAAGGCATCTCGGAACCGTCCAGTCGGGTTCGGTGTCAGAGAAGTAACATTTCTTTAAAAAAAATAATAATTAATCCTAAACCAAGCACAGGAACACGGGCAGCCGATGTTTTCTGGAACTTTCCCCGCTCGCTAGGCGGAAAGTTTTGCTTTGGAAATTGTCCCAGGCTCCAGGTGCCGAGACGGCTCGTGGCCGGAGGTCCGGGGAGCTGCCCGCGAGACGCCGAACTCGGTACCGGTACCGTTACAGAACCGTCTCCCTCCACCACCAAACCTTGGCATCGTGGACAACGCGAAACCGCGGAATAACACGCGTTTTGGGAGCGCGCTTTCTCCCGGCCCAGTTCTCGGCTCCTACAGCCGAACCGGACCTATGAGGTGTACCGGTATCGGAGCTCCGCTCATTCACCGCCGACGACAAGCGAAATGTCAACCGAGTCGAGCCCCACGGAAGAGGTCACCCTGGGGGGACTGTGCCATACACATTTGGGCATTCCCACTCGTGTCTGTCCATCGTGTCCAGAGCTGGCTGGTCATTTAGGGGTAACGGGGCATATTCTCAACAAGCAGGATGGGGAGAGGCCGCTCCCGGGTTTGTGTTCTCCATGGGTTGGAGACGGTACGTGGGAATTCAGACCAGGCCCTGAGTGCAGGAAACATGGAGACGAAAAGTCTGAACAAACGTTAAAAGCAGCAGTTTGCTCCATCGATGAAGGGCCCGACGGTCAGTTAGGACCAAGGCTGCACGGAGTGACGATACCACCAAATACAGGGAAATTGACGAAACGGAAAACGCACGTCTATCATAGCCGTTAAATTTTAATTATTTTGCACGAGAACAGCTTAAAAAAAACCTTTTTAGCATTTTCACACAATGTTTCGAAACTAGTTCAAAACCGATTATGCGAGGTGAAGTAATTTACGTTTCGCGACATCTCTGTGTATTACTTGAAAACAATTTCTGAACACATATTAAATTTAGCCCGTCGAAAGTAGTTACCGCAGTCACCTTGCCGAAAACAAAATGACTTAAAAGGTCTTTTATTTTTTTCGATTAAGGGCTGTTTTATATATTTGGAGGTGAGATTAGTAGGAGTTAGTATTTGAACGACGACGTTGAAACATCGGTATGAGAAAGTCTCCGTGAACTCACAGGTCTTTCATCTTGCGGGAAAAGTGCAGCTTCACCGCCTGCCGTCGGGTTGGGGAGACGAAGGGAAGCCGTTGGTGTCGTTTGAAAAACGGGGGTCGGTTAGAACCTCCAGGTGCCGTTTTGAAAATATAAAAATCAACAAGAGACCCCCGGGCGCGAGCTGTGCGGTACCAGGCTCGTGCGCCCGCGGGCGCTGTATCCATGGACACAGCATCTTAAATGGTCCAATCCATGATTGAAGGCGACTTGACTTCACAGGTAATTGTACTTACAGCGAAGTGCTTCCACCCACCCCACCCCACGTAATCGTTTTATAAAAGACTTCTAAGACTAAAAAAAATCCTGACTGTGTGGCAGGGGAGCCTCGTTGCTTGGTGTACGGCGATCAGTGGCCTAAGGCGATGCCACAAGTAACGTAGCTGTAACGTGTTACTGGGTACGTGAGGGTGTTGCAACATCCCCTGGTGACAACTGAACGAATGCAGAAAAATCGTTTCATGCCCGGCACGTTGTGGCTCTGGCAACGTCCTGAGTAAGGTTTCAACCTCGTCTCCCAGTGGTCTGGTCTCGCATACCCTCAGTGTTTTTGTTTAAATCCCACTCTTTTGGTGAGTTAGCTTGGTTCGTTGAGAGCTGGGCAGCGTGGAGCACAGGCTGGGGTCTGCTCAGTATAGCTGTGGGGAAACAAGCTCCGAGGGTAATTGATTTTATTTAATTTTTATTTAACCAGCTGTGTCATCTGAGACCTTCCTCTTATTTTACAGTGATGGGCTGCGCATGTCCCTGGAGCATTCTGAGTGAAGGCCTTTGCCCAAGAGTACAAGAGCAGGGGCTCACCTGTGTGTACTCATGCCCAGCTTTAGGGTTACAAAGCTAGGGCCTGAACTGCACCCCCACAGGGCTCCCACAGTGCCAGTGAACAGGGGGGTTGCTTCAAGTGGCTGTCTGAACAGGACAGCTTAAACATGGCTAAACCCATCCCGCTGTGTTGGCTATAAGGCATTAATCACGGTCTTTATACCTTTATTTAACTGGATAGCAAAATTAAAACGTATTAACCTGCTTGATCATGGCGGGCATCTGCCAAAACAAATGGCATTTTTCAGTAGTGGTTTATCATACTGGTGATGATTTGTCAGCAGTTCATCTCTGTATTAGCTCGGGCTGTTGTGACATTGTTTTTTACAGCAGAGGGGAGAGTCCCTAGGGGCCTGACAATAACGTGCCATCATTTATTATTGTTACTGTGCTGATGTTAAATGTCGTCGTTGAACATCAGTCCACGCAGAGTCAGCGACCGCTGTATTCTTAGAGTGCATCTTGAGTCATACGTTTTACAGTTCGTTGCCGATCATGTTTTCCAAGTCTTTTATTGAATCTTTTACTGTTGATTCGCTGGTTTGGGAATCTGAATAACAGGGCTGAGAGCAAACCGGGAAGTGTTTGTCGGACGGTTTCGGAAAGTCGTTGGTGCTGATCTTTCGGCCCTGTCCCGCGTCCCCCAGTTTTTAACTCCCAGTTACGAGTCTTGCATAAAGCATGTTCCACCCTGAAGGACCTTTCGTGCCCTTTCTTGAATGAATTCCAGTTACTCCCCTCAGAACGCAGATACAGGTTTTCCAAGTTAAAAAAAAAAAACGAGCAGGTTCTCATGTATACCTGTGGCCGTAGCCCGGCTTAACAAATGATTCTTTAGTGTACCTCCATGAGCATCGTTGTGGGTTTGTGGGTTTTCTTGATGTGGTCTGCCACTGTAAAAACAAGTTTCCCCCCTGGGGAGGATGATAAAGACTCTCTCTCCAACGGGAGCAGTCCCTCGCAGGGCGCGCGCAGGCGAGCGAACAGGCAGCCGTTAAGAGACGCCCGCCCACCCGGGGCGCCATGTCTTTGAGCCGCAGGAGGAAGCCGGAGCACCTGGGTAAAAACCCACGCGGTCAAGAAACAGTGGAACGGGGGACATTCAGTGTAACGCAGTCTCTAAGAGGGCCTGAATCCCCTCAGAATGCTGAATTCTGCTGCCGCAAGAGACCGGTAGTACTGGCACCGGGGATTTCTCCGCTGTGCGGGTCGTGGCCAGCCGCGCCCAGCCGCGAGGGAGTCCTGGCACTGATTCGCCTGTTCCACAAACTCCTCACGATCGCCACCACACCTCAGACGTGAGCCTCGGACCCCCAGGCTGTGGGTCGCCCACTCTCTTGAGTCCCCCTGCTCTGCGGTTTCGCCATTAAACATCTAGGAGGTCTTCTACACAGGAGGATGCGCACCTGGAGCCCATGTGGAAGATGCTCCAGTAAATATACGTGTAGCGAGTCTGGCAGTTTTTAAAATTAATGATATGTGCAACCGTGCGTCAGATAAGCCCTGAGCTAAAAATTGTGTTCTCTAAAATAGCATCAAGTGATGTCGGCTTGCTGCCTTCATTAAGATTGCTCTCTGAAGCAGAAAATTCTTCCCAGAAAAGCTTCCGCCTTTTGGCCCCATAAGTCTCGGAAAGCATCTTTCCTCTATGCACTGGAAAAACTTGTGTTCCTGTATTACCGGAGTATATGTGTGGGTGGGTAAATACTTTATTATCACAATCAGAAGTGATTTTTCTCTTTTTTTTCCTTCAAAGTGGCGTAAGCCGAGATGTTCAGCGTTGTCACTAAGCCACCTTTGATCTGATTTCTTGTTGTAAGGCGAAGTTGAGCATCCATGGATGCTCCTAGGAGGTGCACTCACAAACCAAGATGAGTAAAGAACACTCCTCTCTTCACCAGATGAGGCAGCTGGAAGGTGTTTCTTTTTCTGTTATAATATTAATTCTTAACACTTATATAGCGCTCTTTTCTGGACGCTTACTCAAAGGCAGCAGGGACTCCCCTCCGCCCCCACCTGGACGATGGGCCAGTACGCTCACCACACATCAGCTCTCTGGGGAGAGAACGGAGTGATGAAGCCAGTTCAGAGATGGGGATTATTAGGAGGTCAAGACCGATAAAGGCCAGGAGAAAATGTTGCCCCGACGCCGGGGTTACATCCCTACTCTTTTCTAGAAATACCCTGGGATTTTTAATGACCACAGAGAGTCAGGACCTCAGTTTTGTCTCATCCGAAGGATGGCACCTTTTTACAGTGTAGTGTCCCCGTCACTATACTGGGGCATCAGGACCTACACAGTACACAGGGTGAGCGCCCCCTGCTGTCCCCACTAACACCTCTTCCAGCAGCAACCTTAGCTTTCCCAGGAGTCTCCCATCCAGGTACTGGCCAGGCTCACACCTGCTGAGCTCCAGTGGGCTGCCAGTTGTGAGCTGTTGTTTTTTTTTTAAGAAGCTGTAAGCCCTTGAGTTAGAGTTCATGTTCTCTTGAGCCATCTGCTCAGGATGGGGATGGGACACCGGCTCGCACCTCTGAAGTCTCAGTCTGAATGTGCGGTATGCTGCATAGTTCGAACGTGGCAGATCGTTTTATTCCAAGGTCGTAAGTTCACTCTCTGTTCACCGCAGAAGGAGAAACGGGATTGTACGCTGGACGCGAGCTGACCGCCTGGACCTCTTCCCCCTCATGAGTTTCGTGGAGTACGGCGATGTCATCCAGGAGGGGGACACGGCCATCGTCTTCCTGGGCCACGACTCCATGTTCCCGGTGAAGGTGCAGCGCGGCGGCCAGACGCAGACCCGCTACGGCGCGCTGCGGCACTCCGCGGACCTGATCGGGAAGCACTACGGGTCCAAGGTGACGTGCAGCAAGGGCGGCTGGGTGTACGTCCTGCACCCCACCCCGGAGCTGTGGACCCTCAACCTCCCGCACCGCACGCAGATCCTGTACGCCACCGACATCGCCACCATCACCATGATGCTGGAGCTGAAGCCGGGCTCCGTCGTCTGCGAGTCAGGTGCGGCGCAGGCGAACTTCCCACCTTCCTCTGCGGGAAATCACCTCCCCCCCCCCAAACTCCCCAGCCCGGGAGGTTTTAACCTTTTCCTTTCCTCCTTTCGGCCAGCAGCAGGTTTCCGGCGATGTGGTGATGGGGGGGGCGCGTGGCGCTGGGGTCGCGATTAAGAAATCAGGCTGTCCTGCTATCAGCTGTTTGCCGTGGGGGGTCTTCATCGCAGGAGGGTGGAGCTCGTTAAAAACCGAAATGGACTGAGAAGGAGTGGGACGGGAGCGTTGATCTCCCTTCTTGAGCCATGATGTGAAAATGACACTTTTGAGTTTTGTATAACTGTTAGTCGGTGATCGGGGAAGTGAGACCTCAAGATTAGGGTCCCTAACGTCTGCGTGGGGTGAAAGTTTGAGTCGTTGGAGGCTCTCGGCTGCGCCAGAAGTGACTAACTCTGCCGACTCCTCCTTGGAAAAAAAAAAAATCGAAGGGGATTTTTATTTCCAAGAAACCCATATCAAAGGTTAGAGGCTTATCTTGTGAACTGGAGTTTGATCTGGATTTAGCCATGTGTCCTTGAGTAACACCTTGAGTAAACATGTCGGAAAAGACTTTGGGAACAAGCTTAAGAGCGAGCCCTGAGGCTGGCTTGAAGCAAAATAGTAGCAGCAGTTTAGACGCAAAGGAGTGACCTCATACTCGGGTAGCAAAGGCAGAATGACATTGTGAATTCTGAGGCACTGTTGCAGAGAGCTGGGGTAATTTGGAATGAAGGACAAATAAAAAATGACAGTGATAGGAGATTTTAGAGCAGAACTTGAACCCGTCTTGTTACTTGCCTCTATAAATGAAAATTTAAAAACCACCTAAAGCCTAGCATTGAAATCAATTAGCCTGTGATTTAGAACGAACCCCAATAGACATTACCAGAACCTCTGTGTTAATGTGTCATTCACTTGACCAGGGCGTTGCCTTGTAATTACAGTGTAGTTAGTGTGTAAACAGCACTGCTTCATGAACATACCATGTCATGTACGTACAGCGATTTAAACTAATTCTCTCTCCAAGACCTTTAACCTCAAGCACGCTCTCCCCAGCTCTGTGGACTCCACAAGTCAGGCTGGGGTAGATTCAATCCGTTAGAAGTGTTCCGCAAGTTTCGAGCTCGCCTGATTGAATCGAGAGGCCTGGACAGTAAGCGCATGGAGAGTGGACCCTCGGGTCCCGGAGGTCGTGGCGTAGTGTTCGCTCCGCTCAGAGGACGCACCTTTCCCACGTTGGGTGGCACAGCAGTAAGGATGAGCTGGCTGGCGCACACTGCAGGTTCTCGGTGGGTTTCACGGCCTCTTGTGAAATATGTCCCTCTTGGAGCCCGGGAGCGACCTCCAGCTGCAGTGACAGCTGTGTAGGAGGATAATGGATGAGCGCAGCTGCCTGGCCGGGCCGCAGAGCCGCAGTGTCTCCCTGCCTTGCAGGCAGCACAGAGGCCCGCTAGCCGCTCTCCATCTCTCCCTGAAGAAGGAGTCCGTCCTTGCCATACTGTTATTAATGAAACAGCCCTGTGCGCTAGTTTCCTAGCTCACTATTAATAAACCTTCAGGAAAAAAAGGCCATCGTTTCTTTCCTGATCCTTATTCTTTGCAGCTCTCTGGGCTGGTTTTATTAATGCTGGAAATTAGCCTGCAGTTATAACCTTGTTATGCACGTGAAGAATATTACTCTGCTTTGCTTGAAAACGGTTTATATTTGCTCTTTTTTTAGAAGGCTGATACCGTGTGGATGCTTGGAGTGAAAGTGTTGCGGCAGCACTTTATGAAGAAGCGGCTGAAGATCATTATGTAGCTGTCAGGGACAGAAATCCATGTGGCGCTCAAGTGATCCAGTTTAGTTTGCCTTGGGAGGGTCTTAGAAGCTGTACTGAAAAGCTGCACATAGACTGTACACTGTTTTTCTAAAAACTCTACTCAAGAAGGAAGCTAACATATGTTTACTAACTCATTATTACAGATTTATTTAATGCTATTTCTCAGGGTAGTTTCATGCCGGGACATAAAAGCTGAAGATCACTGTGGCGTGGCAGAGCTCTTCAACAGCATTTGAGCGCTGGTGATGTCAGGGCTTATGTAACTTTTCTTCAGGGACAAACAAAGCCCAGGTGCGGCAAGGAGCTGAATTGTCAAAATCACAGTTTGCAGCGGCTCCGGGTGAATAAATCTGATGCACAGATGGGCTGCCACACTGCTTGCTTTTCAGCAAAACTGCTGCAGTGAGGGGAGTGAAATACCCAGCCCGTTACCTCTCGGAAACCGAGCACCTCGATAACAAACATAGATGCAGTTTATGCACAAGAGCAAACACCCTTTCATAAAAATCCACCGCCCTTGCAGCATCACGTTAAACTGGCTGTCAGCGTGCACATCCTTCATGTTGGTGCACTGAAGGTTTGACTCGGCACTTTTAGCTCCTGCCCTGTGATTGGCCGGAGCTCAGGAGAAGGGGAGAGCATGCAGACCTTGTTCCATGCAGTCTGGGAGGGGGCTCAGAGCAGAACTAAGGGATTTCAGCTGAAGGTCGGCAGCAGCTGACAAGGTCTTGAGTTTGAGAGAGTAAGAGCTGGCTGTCCCAGCTGTGCTGCAGTGCCAGGCCTGGATTAAAAAAAATCTAGATACTGTAGCAAAGCCCTTGGTAACGCAGCCTTGTGTGGGGCTAACGCACACCAGGAGTGCCCAAACCTCGACAATATCTTTATCAGGTGACATTTTCTCTTTGCACGGGGATAATGGCAGTTGTATGTGTGATAGGACGATAATGTTGAGAACTTGTCAGAGTCAGGAGAGCTGCTCCCTGGTGCTGTGTGAGATGCCCTTGTCTGTGCCCTGCCCTTCTCAGCCAGCCCCCCCCCTCCCCCCAATCTGTGTGGGTCTGAAATATTTGCAGAACGTAATGAAGCTTGGACGTCCTCCAAGTTCTGATTTTTATCAGTTAGCCGAAGAGATATTTAACAGCACTGCGTAGCAGGTGACTTAATTAGGCGAAGATTAGGCAAGCTGGATCTTGGAACGCAATAATCCCGAGTGTAATGATTTCTATTCATATCGACAGCTGTTCACAATAGGTTTCAAGGGCACTTCTGTTTTTTTCTTCTGAGCAGGGCTGATTTCTGAGTATACGCGCACAGGAAAAATTTGGATGAGAGGTAAAAGTTGTTTTTAAAATGTACAGTCCCTTCTTGTTCAGTACCATAAAAACTAATAATGTAGCCTTCTACAGACTGCATGCAATAGATGAAAAACGCCAAAAGGGCTGATAATCTGCTTCTTTCTTGACTAGTAGTAATAATAAACTTTTTTTATATAGCGCCATTTAAAGATGGCTTCTCAAAGCACTTTACAGAATGACAACGGCAAAAAATACGAAGAATACACAAGGTGAAACAACAAGGTGAATAACAATACACAGAGGAGACCGTGGATGGTTCCACTGAGTGTAGTAGGAGCAGAGGGAGGAGTGAGGGAGGTGTGCTCCATACTCCAGCTCAGAGTCAGGATTTTCTGCATTTTCCCCGCCATGTGAAAAAGACAGCCTGCCTGTCGTATCCGGGTGCATGTTCCCAAAGAGTTCTCTTTCATAATTGATGCACCCTGCCAGAGAGCAGCTCCGCTTGCGGTTTCAGGTGTCTCTTGTGTCCCCCGGCCCACAGAGCTCTGCAGTGGCACGAGAGTGTGGCTGCTCGAAGAGCCGGCCCTTGGTCCCGCAGTGTCCTATCAGGAAGATATCTACCTGCACAGCACCGTTTCTCAACTACAGGGTAGTCTTAGACCTGCAGTTCTCGGGGGGGCCCAGCTAACACTGTCTGAGCTTTATACTTCGTTAGATCCATCCTGACAAGGCCTGTGGGTAATTGAGACACTTTTTTTCCAATGTTAACAATTTTTGAAGTAAAAAATACAACGTATGAAATAATTGCCATCATACCTAACACAGCCCCTGCCACCAGAGACCGTGGCTAAGTTCCTACCGAGAGGCTAAGGGCTCTCCTAGGGCTTCTACACAGAAGGTACAGCTCCACAGATCCCTTCCAGCTTAACGCCACTGTTTATAGCACTTCTCGTTCCTGCTAGATTTTGTAGATTTCGCTGGAACTCTGAACAGACATGAGCAGCGCTCTGTGTTCTTTCTTCCCTTTTTGGAGTGCAGTGTCTGGACTGGATTATTTTGGAAAGAATTCAACTACCACTGCGTGCAGCCAGAGGCTCCTGTAGGTGCTGGTGTGTCAGGGCTCCCAGAGCAGCACGTGGCAGGCAGGAGTTCTGGGCTCGGCTGTCGCTCGGTCCTTCAGGGTTCCCCCCCCCGACCTCAGCTGCTAGCGGTGTGTTCTTGCACTTCTGTCCCGGTGTGTTCCTCTTGTCAGCCCTCCAGGAGGTGCAAGTGAGGAGGAGCCAGACTGTGTGCAACGGCATGCTCCCTATATTTTTCGTCATTAATGTGGCTCTACACCCCCCCGCCCCCTCCGCCATGTCGGTAGAGATGAGCCTGACGTCAGGAGCTCCAGTCAGTCAGGAGAGGGTGTGCAGTCGCTGCCGCCCTGCTGGTGGGTAATCCGTTGCAGTGGCGGGCTGTTGATTTGTTCTGCTGGGCTGCAAGAGGGACGCGACTCTGGCGATCGAGAGATTTGGAGGCTTTGAGCGACACCGAGGATCCACTCAGTGAACGTGGTTCAGCGTTCCTAGCAGTAACGGTTTCTCGGTCTGTTCTTGGTGCGGGCGCCCGAGGACACGCTGGGCCTGGGGGGTAGGCCGAGGGAGCTGACGCAGGAGGAAGAGTGTTCAGACCGGAGGCCCAGCGGCTCCCAGCGGAGGCCTACCCTCCCCCAGGGTGCTGCCAGTCATGTGACCTCGCTGGAGATGGCTCATGTGGAGCTCACAGATGGTGCTTTCATGGGCAGCTGATTTGTGAAGCAGTGGGAAACTGAATAAAGCCTTTTAGCCGCTCAGGAGAAGGCACAGAAAATCCCAGGCCCTCTTCAGAGAGCTCTATCAATATTTATTAGGGTTTTACTCTGAAAGTCGTTCGTTTTCCTCTTTGGGACAGAGTTGTTCCAAATTAAACAGTAAACTGGCATCTTTTAATTGAATGCTAGCAACATGTACATCAGGAAGAGATGCTAGATTTTTGGATGGTTTTTTCTTCTTTACGGTCTGCGAGGAATACTGGGAAGCCATTTTGCAAGTGTCTTTAAAAGGGTTGTGTTAAACACCATCTCAAGGACATTTGTCGGTCAGCAGGGCTGGTTATTATCTTGTATCTTGAGTAATTTAAGGCCATCGACTGTGAAAATGGAGAGGTTTGAATGTGATTGTGCTGTAGCAGTAGTACTTCACTAATGAGATGAGAGTACACAGGTTTGCTCTGACAGGTTTTGACTTCAAAAATTGTCAGTTGTGAAATGTTTGGTCAGTAGCAGTGGGGGGGCAGTGGGTGAAGAAGCCCCTCAATTGCGTTTCAAGTGTCTGTGGAGAGTTTCCTGTGCGGCCTCTTCCACTTTTGATGGAAACACTCAAGACTGCCGTGATTGCTGAATCGCTCATTATTCACCGAGCGCGTCTAAAAATACATTCAAAAATCCCAGCCAGACAATCGCTCAGACAGGAACGTGATTTTACCCCGTGGAGCATGATTAACACATGAATGGGCTCGTTTCCATCCTTGACAGCAGACTTCATTTTGCCCAGGCGCCCCCTGTGGTGAACAGGCCTCTTTCCTTGCGGCAGAGACAATCCCCTTTGTGCAACAGATTGCAGAATTCGCGTCGCGGTATCTGGGTCTGTTCTCTCCCCTGCCCGATTAATAGGTCATTCCCCTGGTACAGTCCAAACCCCTCCCAGTTCTCATCATCATCTGACCCAGCCTGCAGCAGAGAGCCCAGCTCCATCCTGCAGAACAGGGGATGTCATTTCAGATACCTTCACTCTCATCCCCAAGGACAAAGTTAAGTTCTTTCATTTTTTGTAGCCCTGGCACCTTAATTGATCTTTTTCCAAGGGTAATTTCTTTATTCCCCCTGCTGTAATGAGAACATTTTCCAGCGTCCGTATCTAAAAATACATTCCCGTTTTTTTTTTTGTCATCCTTAAGAGGAAAGACAGGAACAAAAAGAGGGGGGAGAAAAAGTGCAATTGAAGTGTTAGCTGAGGCTAGCACCCCTCCCCATTCCGTTCTGGCTCTTGAACTTCTCTCATTCAGCCTCATTTGCATTTCAGTCTCGGGCTTCTGGGTAAACATTGCTCCCATTGTTACCATGAGAACAAAACCAGCGATGACATCATGCAGGCCGTTTGGAAGGAGCCGCTCCTGCATTAACAGGCTGCTGCTGGGTCCGGAACACTTCTCTTTTCTCATTAATTATTATGAATGGCTGCTGACTCCATGCGTCCACCCAGGCACAACAGCATGTATTATCCCGTGCTTCTAACTAAGCGAGCAGATTGATTGCCTTGGATGTGCTCACTGTTGCCTTCTTGACAAAGCAGTGCTGGAAGTTGCATTTGGCTTTTTTTTCCTGCATGAGAAATAAAATGGCATACCTCCCTCCTGATTCTCCGTGCCTTGTGAGCTGGTACTGGAGGTGGCGTAGTCAAGGGTTTCAAGTTTAGTCTGTGGTGTAAATTCATGTCTGCAAGTACTGCGAGACCAAGCATTCCCTGGTGTCACTGACCCGAAGATCTCATCCAGACGTTTCTTGAAAAAAAAATGGCTGGGTGTTTTGTCGCATACCCCCCCACTCCCCCAACTGTTTGGGTAAAGAGAAGCATTCTTTTTTTTGGGGTTTTAAAAGTAGTTTCCACTTATGATGTCTGGTGTTTCACTGTTCATTTTGAGGAATTCCACTGAGTTGACTTTGGGAATTATGAAGTCAAAAGGTCCCCTAGTTTTCTTCCTGATAAAGATCCAGTTCTTTCAGTCTGTCAGTGTAGGACATTCTCTTGAGCCACAGAACATATCTGGTTTCTGTTCTCCAGACAGATTCCAGAGCAGCAATATTATAAACAAGATTCTAAATGTGGCCTTATACAACTGTAACATTCTCTGCTTTTCATTTTGAATCCTAGCATTTTTTTTAATGTCTTCTCCATTTTGTTTAGAACATTTAAATTACACTTCAGCATACAAACCTCTGCCTTTTTCATGAATAGCCTCTTCTGACCTATTTTGTATTTGTGGATTGTTTTTTCTACCAGTATGCAATACCCTGCTCTTTTCTGCATTATGTGTTGTTTGCCAGGTGTTTGCTTAGTTGTGTGATGTATCTAATTCTTTTTTAACTTTTAACTCTTCCTATATTCAAGTATCATTTGTAAATCTGACTTGTTTGCTATTCCGGAATCTGAATCATTTATATAAATTGAAAAGAGCAGTGGTCCCAGTACAGGTCCCTGTTGTACTCCGCTAATTACATCACCCCTTATCGGTACTTTCTGTTTTAAGAGATCAGTTCAACGCTTGAATATTAGCACATATGGACCTCATTACCTTATCTGAAGAACTATAGGATGAGCAGAAATTGAGGTAATGTAAGGAATGTATAAAATCCACAGAAAACTTCATGCCATGAGAGCTCCATAGGGTAGTAAAACGTTTGGCAAGTAGTGTGCATAGGGGAGCTCAGGAGGTGAAGATTGTCATTTTTATCTTGTGTCTGGGGTCTGGAGGACTTGAATGTATTGTGTGTGGTGGTAGAGGACAGGGCATCAGTGTCCTCGTTCTGTTTATATAACTGAGTGCTCAGCTGAATCCTAGGTTTGCCTTATTATACCTTTTGAGTTGCTTTCAGCTCCTCGAAAGTTTCTGCTTTCACATTGCCTGTGGCATTTAATTAGTCATTTGAAATCTCCCAGCTAATGAAGAACTGAAGGCAATCAAGAAAGGTCTGATTAAAGCAACGACAGGATCGCTACGAACCAGGAATGGGGATCCCTGGGCCAATCTGTTCTGGAGTGCTCTCCTTTTTTGTAGCTGTTTTTGTTGTCCTCAGTTTTGACAGCCACCAATGCAGTTGGTAATTTCTCTTGGATGGTTAATTTCTGAATGACGGCAAATTTAAAATGTATACCTCGCTGTTCAGCCACTGGTTTCCAGCACAGTAAAGGGAATCGATTATAGTGTGGTCTCTTTTTGAAGCGGAGCAAGGAGATGGTTCTAAGGTTTATTTATTCGGGTTTTGGTCCCCTCTCAAAAGATCAAAGATACTTTTTTATTTGAGAAATGTACTAATACATTTTGCTGGAAGTAGCTGCAGGACGTGTTCATGCGTGTCTGTGTCGCTCTTCTCTTGCCCCTGTTGGAAATCTAATAATGGAGCAAACCTGCCATCTAACATTACATTTGACAGTGGCCAGCCTTGAGCTAGCAGGCATGGGCATGTGGCACAGCAGTGTAAACGCAGATCCCGATGCAGACGATTGGGCAGATGGCGCATGTCTTCGAACGTGGCCTCGTCCTTGTGTGTTCGCTGAATTAACTTGTTCATTTTTTTTTATACTATGTGTGAATTTGCAAAATTCTAAGGCACACCTGTTCACGTCTGAAGGCATACCAGTAGCTGCTCTTGAGTGCCCGCTGCCCTGTTTCCATTAGCAACAGACTTTAGGTGGACACTGAGAGGAACAGGGCAGTTCATAAGAATATACAGAAGTTACCAAAGTAGAGGAGGCCATTTAGCCCATCTACTTTGTCTGGTTGCTAGTGGTTAACTGCTCCGAGGAGCTTCGACAACATGACTTGACGGCTTGTCCCAGACCCCTCCGAGCCTTTGTGGCTCAGCACTGCCTCCTTTCCTCGGATTTAGAAGCGGTTTGGCATAATTTCCACTTGAGTCCCCGTGTGTGTGTTTCACTGTTGATTGTGAAGGGGTTTGCGGGGCTGGCTTTGTCAGAGTCCCTGAGGATTTTGAAAACTTGGATCCGCTTACACACAGCAGCTCTGCAGCCCCACTTGTGCCTCTTGTTTCCTCCACAGCTTGCTGAAGTATCACAGGTCCAGTCACGGACCTCAGTTCTTGATTGTGAGCGATAGTGCAGCTGGCTGGAATCTGTTTTTCTTATGTTCCTGAACAGGGAGTAATTCTGTATTGCTCTCTGGAAGATGACCAGCTGCTCTAAATCATTGCTGAATTTCCTGTATATTCAGAAACGGGGGAATCGGGTGTGGCGTTTTGGTTTTGCTTCTTGTGTTCTGTGCCATTGCCACTCGGCTCAAGAAACGTTCCTCTCTGAAGAGTGAGGTATGTTTGGAAGCTTTGCCCAGAGTGACCCGTTCAGAAGTCTCCATTTCCAGAGGCGGACACAGCTGCCGAGAGCAGTCCAGTGCCCTGGCGTCACTCCTTCTGTCGACGCTTTTATACGTGTGAAGAGCAGTGCGGTCTGAGTAGAAGAGCACAGCGTGTTGCAGCTAAAGCCCAACAAAAGCGCCATGGACCCCGCAGTGGAGTATCATGGGGGTGCAGTAAAAGCAGAATGGGGTAATGTCGTTCCCCCTGATCCTGCGTGGGGATCAGACTCAGACACTTTGGACAATGTCAGTGCGCTTGGAGAGAATAGCTCCGTGAGCAGGACAAGCTGATGCCCTTTAACCTCTAGATCTTCCTGCGAACCCCGGTTTAGGGTTCGAGCTCACTGATTGATGGTGTGTTTGCATCGTTAAGGGAGCGGGTTGTGCTGAAGACGTGCGCGGATGGCACCCCCGAGGGGTTCCTGTGCACCGCGGAAGAGGAAGTGGGGACGTCGCTGACCGTGCCCCGTGCTCTCTCTCTCTCTCTCTCTCAGGGACGGGCAGCGGCTCTCTGTCCCACGCCATCCTGCGCACCATCGCGCCCACTGGGCACCTCTACACGGTGGAGTTCCACCAGCAGCGGGCGGAGAAGGCCATGGAGGAGTTCAGGGAGCACAAGGTGGGCCACCTGGTCACCGTGCTCAACCAGGACGTGTGCCGGGAGGGCTTCGGAGTGACGGGGGTCGCGGACGCCGTCTTCCTGGACATCCCCTCGCCCTGGGAGGCCATCGGGCACGCCAAGGCCGCCATCAAGAAGCAGGGTAAGGGCAGCCTCCCAGTAGGGAGGGAGGGGGCAGCTGGGCCTGGGGGAATTGTTTTTATTGCAGGCGTAGCGTTTGATGCTGTATATAAGCTCAGAAAGTAACGAAGTTTCATCTTAACCCTGCCGGGTGGTGGTAGCTGTGTTCTGGAACTGGTTATAAACCCTTCGCGCTCTGATGTGGGAGTGCACAGCTGTGGCCTCGCGCTCCGCTGGCTGTCGCGGAACCTTTAGCAAACCTTGGCCTCGATTGCCTAATTGTTTAATTAATTAATTGACAATGGCTGTAGATCGCACCGATGTATTGAATAATAATGCTACTCGGTTGCAACGGCTACTTACCATTCGTTGGTATTTTCACTTTTCTTGCATCGAATAGAGCAAGAGGGACTGGAAGGCTGCCGGGCTCTATTGCAGTGTATAAGCCAGGTCCGCACAGCAGGGCTTCCAGAAGGTGACATTCGGAGCCCTGTGCTGTCCCTTTGTGCAGCAAGGGGCTGGAACGGGCCGAACAGGTGGCAGATCTAGCTAAAGAGTCTATACGAACTTCTCGCACTTCTCTGATCTAAAAGGCAGCCCCTTGGATGGGATTTTTAAGAAGGAAACACATCAATAAGGAAACATGTTGAAATAATTTGTGATTCCCAAATTATTGAGCATTGTGGTCAAAGGGCTTGGCCATTGTTTCAGTGCCGCGTGTGAAACGGGAGGGGTTGCACTCTAATGCAATTTTCATCTGTTTCCCATGACGTACTGTCGGGCTGTGACTGGTCTCGGTAGGCTATTCAGTCCTAATGCAGGATCCTGCCTTCCCGCATCTCCCTCGAGGCTGCCTACCTGTGAGCCGAAAGCTGGTAGACTATCGGTTTCACAGACCCCTTCCCCGCATCCCCGTGCAGCTGCATCTCCTTCACGGCTTTGTCGTGATTTACTGAACCTGCATGTCGCAGAGGCAGGGGTCTTCAAGGTTGCTCAATCACTGTGAGGTGCATCGGCTTGTTAGGAGAGCTGCAATGGCGTGCAGGAACTCGTGGGAAGTTTGACCTTGCAGCTGTGCTCTCTGGAGTCTCGCCTTGGCAGATGCGCTTGTGTCTTTAGCACTGCTGTAGTTGTGTTACTGCACCACAGAGCTGGATTCCCTCATTCCCTCGGAGGACTGGGAGTTGCACCGGGGGCTCGTGTGGGCTGGTTATTTTAGAGTCTGTGAAGACTGAATGCTTCACTCTGAAAGAGTGCTGATGGCAAGGGTCCTGATGTGCGATTTACTCGTGTTTATGTGAAAGAGGGATGTTAGGGAAAGGTCTTAATGTTTAAGTCACTTGATTCTTTCCTTCTTGTAACAAGGGGTGCATTCCACACAGACCCACGTGCTCTGTCTGGGAACATCTGTCGGTCATTGCCCAACTCTCAGGGTCCACTTTTCTTATCACCCCCTTTGCTCTCTCAAGAGCTGAAAGCAAACGAACAAACCGAAAAACGCAATCAGTGAGCCTGTACGAATCTCGCTGAAGCGAAAGTGGGAAGACTGTCTTCAAGGGCAGTGACTAGTCCTCAAGGGTCAGGATCCAACAGGCTTTCTAGGCCTCTGAAAATCATCAGCAGCTGAAGGCCTTTGAAAAGGGTCCAGCTGCTGTGTTCCAGCTAGTGGCTAGCTCTGCTAGGTCATTAAGAGCAGAGTAGGAATTAAAACCCACAGATAACACTGGGCCTCCAGAACTGGGGCTGTGCACCACTAGCCTTGAGATCTGGGTTTGTTCATGAAGTCCCGCAACGCTTGGATCAGATATCTTGTTTTAATTTGCAGTTTGCTGTGCAAGGAATGAAACCATAAACAATTCATACTGTTCAGCAAGTTCCCCTGAGGCCACCATCATTCTTATTCTTATTCTTAAGAATTTTTTATTTATTTGCTTAGCAGACGCCCTTATCGACTCATCCTGTGATGCTCTTGGAGATTTTTTTTCCTATTCTTCCAAACGTCTTCTCTCCATCCAGCGGCAGTTCTGCTCTTACACTGCAGAATCAATGAGGGCTTCTCGGCTGTGGTGCCGTTGGATAATGTATAGCTTCCTGGTTCCTGGCGCAGTTCCAGGGAAAGCTGGCTTGTTCCGGCCTGTCCTTCCTCTCCCTGGGGTGGCAGGTGGGCTGTAGGTGCACTGGTTCAGTTTGAATGGTGTTGATGCTGGGCGGATCACAGGACACTCTCAATGGACATTGTAGCATGGCCTCTTTCTGAAGTACTTGAAATTGTGGCAAAAAAAGAAACCCAACAAAAAACTTTAATTCCTCCAGCGTTCTGCTGCTCTTGTCTTTTTTGATGTTTTTTGCCATGTAGTGTATGTTCCTTGCTTGAATTTGAGATAAGGAGTGCTCTGTGGGTTGGGACCAGCTGGCTCTCAGGTGTGTACAAGTCCTGGACCAGCTGTGTGAGGCCTGTTGCGATGTGGGTGTGTGGTTCTCCTCCGTGACCTGCTTCTCCCTACATTGACCTGCAGGTGACCAAAGGCATTGTGTCTGAGCCGGAAGAAAGGGAGAAGTAAGCCTGTCTTGAATGTTTGACCCAGTGTTTGCACTTCTGTTTTATTTATCATTATATGAAGCTGTGTAAGATTACTCTCATTGAATTAATTAATGAATGTTATACCTGACAGTCCTTTTTTTGTTGCTGCTAATGTCAGGTTTTGAAAGAGTTAAAGTCCACCGTGCACTTGATCTACTTTTGTGTTCTTGAATTTGGAGTATTAAGGACTTCTTAAGGCATGGATACTGCATTTGAGTAATGAGTTTGCATCCTTAAGAGGCTTTGACACAACAGTAAAGTCAGGTCGTGAAGCCTTAACTGTGGGCTCTGGCAGTGTACTTCTGCTTTCTGCTGAATCAGGCCTGGGCCTGGATGTAGGGAAATGGAGTGAAAACACGGTCTGCTCAGAGTAACATTAAACCCAGATCATGTTCACCCTGCACTCGCGATGTCAGAGTTATTGATCGGGACCGAGAGGACGAAGTCGAGCATTGCACATGAAATATTCAGGGCTGAGCCGCAGGGACCTTGCCTTCCCAAATCATCACTCTCTTGCACAGCGGCTGACTTTTGAGTTTTGCCTTTGTGTTTTAACGCCCCAATCCCGCCCTTGCCGCTGTCCTCCGGAGAGGCTCCCAGGAAGCCTCCGTGAAGGTAAATGGGATGGAAGAACGTGCAAATTGGTGAAATACGACCCAGGCCCCGTCAGGCTGAGTCAGCGCTCGTGGACATCTGCCGCAAACCAGAACATTGATCCGTAGGTTCAGAAGTGCTGCGTCTCTGCATTTAGGCCATCCAGTCTCGAACAAAAGGAAAGAGTTTGAGCCCTAAGGTTAATAAGCCTGTGAGTGCTTATCATAATTTCCTTGTACACAGGGACAGGGACGCAGGACAGAAAAGATTCATTTTCTTCAGAGATTTTTATGTTTAAAGTGCCAGTTTTTATAACTCCTTTTAAGTGTTGCATGCTATGCTGCAGCATAGAGGAGCGGTGAGGGCTCTGGGCTTGTGACTCCAAGATTACAGGTTCAAATCCCAAGTAGGGCGTTGCTATTGTATGCTTGAGGAAGGTAATTTCTTCCGTTTTCCCCGGTAAAAATGCCCAGCTGTATAAATGGAAGACATGGAAGCTCTTCCGCCAGTTCACAGGTCTGGAGAAATGTCTGTTGGAAAAACCTGACTCGTTTTTTTTAATCAGTCCTAAAATTCAAGCAAAACAAAAAGAAAGTGGTTTGCAGTGTTGGAGGTTAGGTGGAGAGCAAGTAGCAACTCATTTACACATATTCTGGTCTTGCCCAAAAATACAACCATACTGGAAGTTCATACATTTAGCCCTTAATAATATAGTACACCTAAACATTTCATTTGAATTCTTCATTGTGTATTTGGGTAATTTCACTTTTGCTTACCTGGACGTAAAGAATAGATGTATATTAGGAATTCCTTAACTAGTAAGAAAACTATGACAACAAAATGGTTTACTAAAGAATCGCCAACATTGGAACAATGTATTAGTGTTTTGAAGGAGATTGATTTAATGCAGAAGATCACCTTTTCTCTTAGGTTATGGGGCAGAGAGGTTTAGCAAATACTGCCAAGCTGGGTTTGGGTTTGTGGCCCCACTGAGTCCTGATGTTGCTTGGTGAAAGAGGTTAAAAGAATAATCTTTTTGTGTGGATTGTTGGAATGTTTTTGCTGACTATATTTACATATGTAACCTTCCATCTATGCTGGCACAATTGAAAGAGTTACTGATGTAAACAATGTAACATAATTGTAAAATGAAAGATTAACAATTATTTTATTGTTCTACCTCTAAATCTTTTTATAATTTAAAGTAAAAAAGTTGTGTAAAGAAATGCAAGTTCCTTTGCATAAACACATCCGAGTATCTTGGCAGTGCTAGACAATCAGACCTCTTTAACAAGGGTTAAAGCTTCTTTTTCCATGCCTGGTTCACATTTATCTTCAGGAAGGTCCAGGCTACCAAGATCAAGCTCGTAGTTATAGATATGATCCAAATGGGGACAGAAAGAGGAGATCAGCTTCTCACACCTGATCAAACCAAGCTTCCACCACGTGCTGGGAGCTGTGCTGGGCACGGTTGAAAGACCGCGATGCTGTAGTGCAAACAGGTGTCTCCCTGGAGATGGGCTCACTGGGCGTCCAGTGGGCAAGTCCATACACGCTGTGCTGTGGGGGTCGTGACCTTCTGTGGCCGGCTTCTGCCTCTCCTCCAGGCCTGGACATGCTGTCTTCATGGTTTTTAGTCTCCAGTGGAGTTAGCAAAGCTCTGTGGTATTTCCTATTAAATAACAAGTGATCAGTTGTTCCAGGCGGTTTCCTCACGTTTGGCCTGGAATGATGAATTCTAATGGATTCAATAGATATGCTTTAAATACATCTTTTTTTTTTTTTTTCTGGATGAGCAAAGATATTATTTGGTTGCTGATGCTGAGATGGGCATGCGGGTGTCAGCC